GGTTGTAATCTAAATCAGGTCACTCCTCTGTTGAAAAACCTTCACAATTCTCCATTTCATTTGGCATAAAAGGCAAAGTCTTTGCAATGGCTTTCAAAGCATGACAAGTCCTCACCTCATCCCCTGCAACCTCTCCTCTCTCTCTGATCCAACCATCCCAGCCTCTACCTTTCTTCAAACACACAAGGAATGTTTCTGCCTCAATTCACTTGGACTTTTAATCCCTCCACCTGGGACAAACTCCCCTGAGATAAGATTAAGTCTTGCTCTATCACCTACTCAGAGATGATTTATGTCACCCTCTCAGAAAGGTCTTTCCTGAGTTCCTGCAGTTCCTTCTTAGAACTGCAACCCTACCACTCCCTCCAAGACTCTCTTTATCATTTTTCTGTTTTATTCTTCTGTAATTCATTTTCACTTGTTAAACTGTGCATTCTGTTTACTTATTGGCTTATTTTCTGTGTGCCTCTGCTTAACTATAATATATGTATGGGCAGGAAATTTTTGTTGAGTGAATAAAAGAATGGTTATTCTAGCATTCTACATATGTATTCAGGAAAATCTTTCCCCTGAGCCAAAGGGCATCCAGGGCAACTTGGAGACATACACACCTCCTCCTTAGAGCATTATGAGATGTTATGGTTGAATGCAAGGGGTCAATAGGTAAAGTCTTATAAAAATATTTATGACCATTTTCTGAATTTTATGTGTGCCAGGGACTCAGACGTCACATAACAGAAAGGCGAGGTGATGAACTGACAGCTTTAACCTAGGAAATGAAAGCAGGCTGGAGCTTGTGTCTGAAAGAACATCAAAGATCAACATGAAAACCTTCGGTGCACCTGTCCGTCTTACTTCCTTTTAGAAATAGAAATAAGACCCAGGTCCCATAAATGTTCTCAAAAGAGTCATCTGTATCTTACATATGTATAAGTGAATAGGGAAATTCTGGTATTTTCCAAGGGCAGTTGCCTATATTCATTAGTTAAAGTTTTTATTTTATTTTATTTTTTTTGAGACAGAGTCTCATTATGTCACCCTTTGGTAGAGTGCTATGGTGTCACAGCTCACAGCAACCTAAAACTCTTGGGGTTAAGTGATTCTTTACCTCAGCCTCCCAACTAACTGGGACTATAGGTGCCCACCACAATGCCCAGCTATTTTGTTGTTGTAGTTGTCATTGTTGTTTAGCAGGCCTGGGCCAGGTTCAAAGCCACCAGCCCCAGTGCATGTGGCCAGCGCCCTAACCACTGAGCACGGGCACCGAGGCAAAGTTTTTAATATTATAATCACATGTAGCATGTAGTATTGTAATGTTAAGATCTTAAGTTTTTAGGTACTGCTCTCGGTACTGGGAATTCAATGGTGCTCACCGACAGGATGGTCCCTTCTCTCAGGGAAATATGAGTCAGAGAAACTGGCACTGATCAAACAATTAAATGAGTGAATAGAAAATTGTGAGAAATTGCAGCTCTGATCAAGGCCACCAAAGAAAAAGTGAGGATCTGCAAAAGTAAAATAAGGGTCTGAGAAAAATCAACCATGAACTGACATAATCAGGATGGAGAGAGAAGGCTTCTCTAAACAGGAGATAAGGAGACAACCAGAGTGAGGGTAGGAGGTGGGATGGGCAGGGAGCCCTGCAGGCCAAGAAGCTCTAGCTTCCTCTCTTTGATATTCACAGAGATTACCCTACACCCTTAGGGAAGGTTGAGCTATCAGTTCTAAGCTGAGGGATTTATTCCTCTTAGAGGAAAACTCAGTGGAGCCTGGGATCCCAAGGAAAAGCAGAGTATAAAGGATCTAGGCACTCATCCCACTCAGGGGGACTGTACACGTGCTGGCTGGCCTCGAGACTCTTAGCACTTTTAGCAATTGCTCCCTGGTCTCCACTGCAGGCAGCAGCACAATGGGAAGCGCAGCCTGAGAGAAAAACAGTAACTGACTCCTATTAAGGGCAGTAGGTAAACACAGCTGCTGCCCAGAGTATTACTGGAAAATCATTTGCATCATTAGTTTGGGTGGGACACTTCTGGGTTTTGACTCCCTCTCATCAGGGAGATTTCCCCAGGATGGACACTGTGGTTTCTGCTCCGGAAGCCAAGTACACAGAAAGGGCTCTCTTCCAGCCTTCCTTCTCTTCCTCTCCTCGCTCCCCTCCCCTCTTCTCTGACATTTGTTGTCCCTTAGAGATCTTATCAGCTGGCTCAGCTGGCTGAGACCCTGCATGCAGAGTGAGAACCGACACTTCAAATTGCATTATTTTAGGTCTCACTTATTCCTGAGATACCAAAAAAAAAGGGCAGCATCACCTTTAAGCCTCATCATTTTTTGGAAGCAACAAAGCCAGTGGGGCTTGGAGCCATTTCCCGAATCAGAGGAAATATGTTATCATTCAATTTTTGGAATGAGTATTAATTTATACACATAAATATAATCAATAGAGAATATCACTCCAAGTCAAGTGTTCCTGGGCCAGAGATTCCATTAAATCCATCCTTAATTCTCTCCCACAACCCATCCTCCCACACACACACCTGTTAATTTCTATATCACCTCAGGGAAAAGAGTTAGGCAGGGATAGGGGCTAACTTAATAAAAAAGAAATTGGGGTGACAGCAGCTCCCCCAAAGACCTTTTGCTCTCTTCCCTCACAGCTGTTTCCTGTGTTCTTTTGCTTCATTTCTTTCTGCTCATTTCTCTCTTTTTACCTGTTTTGTCTTAGCCGATCTCTCTCTTCTTCCTGTTGCTCTGTCACCTCTCATGCTCTTCACTCCACTTGCTCTCCTCAGCGCTGTCACTCATCCCCCCCCACTGCAGTCGCTCAAGCCTATGACGCACCAGGTCCTACACGATGCTGGAGGAGACAGCCCTAGAGAGTCACGTCATTGCCCGTGGGAGGTGTTAACTCCAGTAAAGATTATGACTATGGGAGCCAGAAGTAAACACATAAAATAACTTCAAATTGTAATCAGACTTATAATGAAAAAAAAAAAACACTAAATACACATGGTGATGAGAGGTAAGCAGGCATATCCTCCACATTAATTGTTATTAACTATTTTGTACCACAGACTCTTCGGAATTTGGTAAAAACTGTCAAGGGTTTCTGAGAAGTCTTTTAAATACATAAACTAAAATCCATGGAATTATAATAAGGTTTAAATACATAGACTAAAGTCCAAGGAATTACAATAAAATCTATGGAATTAACAATTTTTTTCTAGAGGACACAAATGTAATGAGACGGTGACAGCAGCATTGTTACAACTGGGCACCATCAGGCAGCCGGTCCCAGGCAAAACACCACCCTTCCACGTGCTCTTCTGCAAGAGCAGGCTGTGCCAACCAGTCCCTGGCTGGGTCTCTCTGTTGTGCTGGGGACTTGTAGAAACACCCACACATATCCATGGAATGTACCTCTTGCAAGTCCACTGATCTCAGATTAGATTCTTTGTAGTTTAGGTATTATTTTAGGTAGAAGAGGAGGTGCTAATAAGGTATTAATCCAAGGAATAATATAGACCAATTTGTGCTTATAAGAGACCGCTCTTGTTGCTGTGTGGGCTTATAGTGGAGGCAGGGGAGATTTACACAGCAACTGCCTGGTAGGTATGAGATGATCCTGCCTCGGCCTGGGAGAATGCCTGTGGAGAAGGCAATTGTTATAAAGTGTCACTTAGACTATGCCTACAAAGGAACATGTGTCCCTAAGAAGAAAGAGACAGAATGAGAAGAAAGAAGTAAATAAGTCTTTTCTCTTTTTGCATCTTGATGTCCCCCTCAAGCCTCTGAAGGTTTCCTTGGTAACACAAGTGAAGCAAGTGCCTTCAGAAGATTGTGGCTTATAGCCCATAAAATATATTAAAAGATTTCTTTATACTTACTTGAAGCAAATATATTTCCAGTAAACCTTAAAAGAAGTTGTTCTCCTTCTCTTACTTGGAAATGCTGGGATGGCTCCGGTGGTCCCCCAAACCCTTCCAAGTGCAAGTTCTTGAGTGCCTGGTTTAAGTCTTTAGAAGGCACCACTGAAACAGCTATGCGATGTGGCTCGTTCTTCTGGTGGGACAGTACTATGCAGGCAGTGGTGCTGAGCAGGGCTTCCTCTAAGGATCTCACAAAAGTAACCAAATGTCTGTTGTCCACAACAGAGGACAGGTGTACCACGATAAACCTGCAGGGAACAAAAGAGGTGAAACCAAGAGAAAAACACAGGCTCAGAAATACCACGTATGTCCAATAACATCCAAGAAAAGAGCCATTACCTTTCAAACTTTCTTTATGATCAAGTATTCTGATGACCAACAAGGTTAGATTTATGAATGACTTTAGCAAAGTTCTTGGCAGTCAAGAAGCCTGCTCAAATCAGACTAAATTCTAAAACACCTTCCATACAGGCTGAGCTCTATACAGGGCAACATATTTTAAGTCTTAATTAGCTTTACCCAGAAGTATTATTTCAAATAGAGAAGAGAAAGATGATCAAGATAATCTATTTACTCACAGTGGAATGGATAGCATGGTTAGTGAGGACTGTAATAGTCACCTCTGTCTCTGCGTGACTGTTACGAAGAACTGCTCTATTAATGGAATAGCATCCCTTATTCACAGTTGAAGTACAAAACCCTAATACCGCAGAATGTGGCTTTATTTGGAAATAGGGTCTTCACAGAGGTAATCAAGTTGAGAGGTATTATTGCTGTCCCTAATCTGGTATGACCAATGTCATTAAAGGAAAAATTTCAGCACAGAAAAAATGCACACAGATAAAACTGCATGTGAATGTGAAGCTGCAAGGCCAGGGGAGACCTGGACAGATCCGTCCCTCACAGGCCTCAGAAGGAACAAACCTGCTAACACACCTTGATTGTGGACTTCTGGCTTCCAGAACTGGAAAACAATTTCTGTTACTCAAGTGATCCAGTTTTAGGTACTTTGTTATTGCCACCTGAACAAATCAATACAGACAAATACTTCTGGAAACCACTCAAAACTTAGATTTATTTTTATAGTCTCTTCTAACTCTAAAAAGATTTTCAAACATGGCCCTCATTTCTGAAATTCCATGGAGATAGTACTTACCTGTTCATATTATGTTTATCTCTGGGCTAGGCCACATATTTCCTATTTCTTCTTCAGAGAATTGGCCTCCGGAAGCCTCCAGGGTCACAGTAGTCCCACGCTTATAGACCAGGACCAACTGCTGTGGGGTGTAAAGCCAGCTTACTTGGTACTCACATCTCCAGCTCCCCGGGGTAAGACTTCCTCTGAAGCAATGTTTTTTCTCAACGTCCTTCCTTGCCCTGCAGTATACATCTGAGCACCCCTCAAAATGTCACTGTCTTCTCCTCTCAGACCCTGTTTCTTTGGAACTTACTTTAAGACAATCATAGATGCAAGACCTCCCATGATGAAATTAATCTTATCTTTAGACATTGCCCTCTCTTTTTGAGGGCACTCCTCCTCCTCATGAAACCTAAATCTGTCTAAAACTTTTCTCGTCAAAAAATGGGCTGCCCAGAAAACATGGAAATGAGAAAGCAAACTGAGGGTGTGGAAATACCCAATTCTGTTTATATATACATAGTTATGAGATGAACCGTTCGTTACTATCTCCATGGACTTTCAGAAATGAAGGTGCCATTTTTAAACTATTTTGGAGGTGGAAAAGCCTGTAAAAATGAATCTAAATTATGAGTAGTTTCCAAAAGCACTTGTTAAGCTATCAGGAATGAAATTACAGACGCATATTCCTGTCAATTGGTTTGCATTTTAAGCATACCCCAAAGAATGGTCCAAACTCCTATTTGAGGAATAAAAATTTGATCCTACAATTCCATTTGTGTAAACATCAGGGATGGACTATCGGGAGAGAATTTTGTCAACTTCACTTGATTCCTACTGTATTACCTCTCTAAATGTTCATTCAGTTCAAATGAGATCAAGCCACTCTGTATGGCTCTCACCACAACATCATCCACGCCAAACCAGCCACTGTCTTGGCTTCTGAATCCCAGTAATTTCAAAGTTTCAGAGGCATTTTTCCCAGTTTTCCTTATGGAGGTGCTTTTTGTCCTGTATCAGAAGTAACAGAAGAGAAATTGCTAATTCATATTTCATTCATTCATGAAGTGAATAATACATTAACAATTCACTAATTGTACACTTTGTGCCAGTCTAGGTTTTGTATCAGAAGATTAGAAATGTGCAGCCCTTACCCTTCAGAAGCAGATAGGATCACAGTGTTATCTGATTGTAGGGCAAGGTGATCCACATGGTCATTAAAAGAACATACAGGTGGTTTAGCAGCAGAAACTAGGGGCTCATAGAAGCTTGCAAAATTAACATGTGATACTTAGGATGAGCTTTGAGGAATGGGAGGCATTTTGCCCTCAACAAAGAGGTTTAAGGGGACACCTCAAAACTTTAATAAACTAGCTGATAGAAACTCAGATGCTTTAAAATTACAAAGAGTGGTCATACAGCATAATAGGTAAGATGACAAACTCTGAACCAAAACTGCCCAGTTTCAAATCCTGGGTAGCCCTGGCTCTTATTAACTGTACAACCATGGGTAAGTGATCTGATTTCTCTGAATCTCAGTTTTCCTATCTATAATATGAGAATAACAATAGTACTTATATAAATTGATGTAAGCATTATCATTCATTCCTATATTACTAATAGTTGCCAAATTATTAAATGAGTTAATATTTATAAAGCACTTATAATTGTAGGGATGTTTCCTCTTCTGCACTGAACTTGGAGTTATGAAGATGTAATCATATTAATTGTATGAGAATCTTAAGTGTGTCTCATCAAAATTCCTACTGCAGACATCGCCCAGCTAGCTTTCTATAGAATTTTCCCTTTTACATAAACTGCCCCACTCAAAGGTCCTGGTTGTATATACCATGTGATAGCCAGCAGTGTAATTCTTTCTTATTGGAATTTGACTAAGAGGCCCAGAGACGGAGATTTGCCATTGTCCTTTTGTTACTGTACAGTGGAATATAAAAGCCAATAAGGTGCAGTGTGAGGGTGTTCAGCGTCCCCCTGGGTGAAGGTCTCAACCGTAACTTGAAAGTTACCTTAGAATTGAAAACGATGTAACCTAAACATTTGTACCCTCCTGTTAATCTGAAACAAAATGTTAATAATTAGAGACATTATTTAGAAAGGAAAAACAGGTGCTCAGAAAGAGGAGAAAAATCACGATGAAAGGATCCACAGAGTCCTAGAGCAGCAATTCTTAACCGTCCTAATGCCACGATGTACTTTCATTGTTACAAAGAAGTCACAACCCACAGGTTGAGAACCGCTGTCCTAGAAGGAGAGAAAGCAAAGATTAACTACTGTAGCCTTATAATTAACTCTGCTCTTTAACTAAAGGAAGAAAAGTCCTTAATACTAAATATCTTTAAAAAAAAAAAAAAAGGGAAAAAATGCCTGGCCTAATGATACCACCATACACAAAGGACAGAACTGTCTAGCCAAGCACTAAGATAATAAAGACCCAAGTATGAATTTCATATCTTTATTTGCAAAGAGAATTGGAATTACAAGCTTAAAACACCTTAACTTTCACAGGACTGGCTGTCCTGACGCAGATTAGGAATTGAACATAATTTAAAACATCTGCTTTAAAACTTACTAGACGCTTCAGAGGATTAGAAATATTTAACTCAGGAACATAGAGGGGTAAATAACATTTAGTTTTTGGCTGTTGGATTATAACCACAGATATGGTAAGTTTTGTAACCATTAGAAGTTACTAATTTATTCACACAGGAAGA